GACGGCCCCATAGATGTACACAACCTTGGGACCCTGGAGCAGGCCCATGTTGAGGCCATTGGCAGTGTGGCTATGGCCAGGCCCTGTCCCTGTCTCCCTCCCAAGAGCAAGAGATGGGTCCCAGTCGTCTGTACAAGGTACCCTGAAGCCAGCATGTTGACATTGGTGACAGGGTAGGGGACAGGGCATCTTCTGAGTCTTTTGAATCAAGAGATCACTTCCCTGACACATGATGTCTAGGATTTCATAGGCATGGGACAGTGACAAGGTGGCCAGAGGCATCCTGACCTGGCTAGCAGGGGAAGAAGGGATGGATTTTCTCTTTGTATGTGCGTGGCTCTGAGGCCACGTGTGTGTGTTGTGTCTTTCTGTGGCTGGCGTGTGTGTGTCTCGGTGCAAGTGGGGTGGGGATCGTGTCTCTGTGTTTCTGGGACTCTGTGGGGTGCCTGTGAGAGTGCGTGCAAACAGTCCGGGGCCGAGGGGAGGGGTACACCTTCATATGCAAGTGGGGGTGGTCTACCTGGGGTGTCTCTGTCACCCAGTTGCTGTTTGCTCCTGGGGCTGGTTGTGGCTGAGGAGAGCTTCTGTCTCAGCGCTTGTGGTCCTCAGTAGGTGTGTTTTTGCTGTCCTGAGTGTTTGTGGAGATGTCCTTATCTAAGGATGTGTCTGAGAGTCCAAGGTGGCTCTGTGCGTGAGCTGGCGTGTGGCAAGGGGCTGTGGGTGGCCCATGCGTGTGCTGCCTGTGCCTGGCGTAAGGACAGTGGTGGGTGAGGGACTCGAAGCCTCCCCTGCAGATGTCCATCACTGCCGGGTCTGCCGACATGGCTCTCATCATAAACCTCCCGTGCCCTCTGCCTGCCACCCACGTGTCCACTCCCTCTGTCACACCTCGCCTTCCCAAGCCGCAGGCAGCTGTGGCTTGGCCTGTTACTTCAGCCCCTTACCTCCCCTCCCCTCGGCACCTGTGGGCACCCTGGCACTCATGGGTGTGGCTTCTGTCCATAGATTATCCCAGGCATTGGCTGGGGCACAGACTTTGCTGTCTGTTTCTCCTGTCTGGCATGTGACAATTTTTTGTATTTTGGAGCCAATGCTGGGGGGATTGTGGCTCAGGTGGGGGGGCCTTTGCAAATTACACTCTTCATCTCAGCCCTAGCCCTGTGTCACCCCACCCCAGAGGTCTGCTTCAGGTAAAGCCTCCATCCCGCAGCGCCCCTCGACTCCTCCCTGCCAGGAAACCATTCAGGTGCCCAGGACACCCTGGCATGGTGTCCTTCCCCCATCAGGGACCCTTGATGTCCCTGTCCTCTACCAGTGGCTCTGAGGCTAGGGGAATCTTGTCTGCTTGTGCCAGGCACCCCAGGGCCAGGCCATCTGCTGCCTCTGTCTTCCTGCTGAGGCTGGCACCGGTCAGCAGGGTGTCCTCGGCTTTGCCAAGAACCAACCCGGCCTCAGGGCTGCTCCTGCCCTGTCCTAAGCCATCTGGAAGGGCCTTCTGGTCTCGAGGGAGGGTGGGGTGACTCTGGGTCACTGTGAGAAGGAATCTGAGGTTGCATGTCCTGGGGAAGTTAGGAGGGATGTGGAGAACCTCCTCTCTCATCCAGCCAGCCACAGGGCGTTGTCAGGTCCGCTGTCCCCCCCAGCTGCCTGTGCATCGCCCAGTACATGAGGCTACCAGCATCTGGAATCCAGGTCCGTCATGGACATGGCTCCCTGCCCTGGCCTTGGCTGCAGCCTCTCTCCTGTACTCCCTGCCCCATCAGCCCTCCTGGGGCCTAGTTCTGATCCCGTTCTGCCCCACTCAGCTCTTCCTGCTTGTCCACCCAGTTAAGTCTACATACTTTCTCTCACCATCTAAGGCCACTTGTCATCTGGCCTCAGTCCCCTCCCCCCATCCCTTGCAGTCTAACCTGCCACCTTCCCAGGCTGCCCCCGAGCCAACGCGGACTATGCAGTATTCCGTCAACCCGCTCTTCACTCGCCTGCGCCTGGCACTTGCCACGCCGTCCTCTCTGTCAGCGTGCCTTTCTGCTCAGTCTCCAGCTGCTCATTTTTCAAGACCCAACCCAAATGCCACCTCTTCCAGGAAATTTTTCCTGGCCTGCCATAACCACAGGTCATTTCTCTGACCCTACAGTTCAGTGTTATCTCTGCCCCTCTTTTGACTGTGTCTCATGGGTTCCCTGTGTCATGGTCACAGTCCTCTGTGCCTTTTCCTACCTGTAGCTCTCTGAGGGCCCTTACTGTAGCTAGGAGGCGTGGCTGGTGAAGATCTGGAGTGGTCCTCCCCCAGCAGCAAGGGGTCCTTGCCGTGGCCAGCAAGCCTGCAGCCTGCTGAGGGCCATCCTGGCTACACTACGGTGTTCCAGGTCCTAGCAGAGAACGGGATGTAGCAGGCATGACTTGCTTCCTGCTCCTGGGAGGGTAGAGGGCCCATGTCTCAGGGCTCAGTGCCAGGCTCCAGGGGTCTCTAACCGCCCCCCTCCTCTACCCTCTCAGCCCTCTCATAACCATCTCTTCTCTTATTTCCATCAGCAGCCAAACTACTGGAGTTTCAAGGTCAGTGTGTGATGCTTCTGCTTCCATGACAACTGCATGTGCTCTCCCTCCCCTGCGCCTGCCCCTCCCTTGCACATGCTTTGCACCGGGGTGCGCGTCTGCACGGGCACCTCCTGGTGTGGGCGGTGGGCCTTGGGGCTGCAGGCTGTGACTGCTGCTTTGGGAGAGTCTGGGTTTGCCTGCCAGGCATGTGGATCCAGAGTGGGAATGCGGGCTGGAGATGCTCAGTCCCCAGGCTTCCGCAGCCCACAGGGGTGTGTTGGAATGGGAAGGGCTGCCTGGCATTTCCCCAGCCTGGAGAGACTGCGGGCTCTGTGTTAGGGACCTGGACCCCGTGATCTTATTGAGGGCCCTGCTCTCTTAACTCAGATTTCACCTCCCAGGGAGGCCCTGTGACTACTAGGGGTCTCTCATCCCCTTCTTCTCCCCATGATGGGGGAGCTGCTCAGTGCTGGGCAAGAGATTTGCAGCCCTCACCCCCAAACCTGTTTAAGTGCAGGCCTAAGTTTAGGGATGGGTGGCTGCTGCCTCCTCTGGCAAGTCTGGACTTTCATGAGCGGGTGAGTTGTCTGCCCCCTGCAAGGGCATCCTGCGGACCCCTGGGGAGCACCCTCAGGCCCCTCTTCCATCTTCCCTGGCACCCAGGCCCGGAGCTGAGTGAACCAACTGCTGCCATCTTACTAGAGTCTCTGACCCTTCAAGTCCTAGGCATCATGACAAGGGCTGGGAGGCGTCCCTCCCAGACTCCCCACGTGTCTCACTTGCATGCCTTCTCCCCAGCACCGCCAAAATCCTGGAACCAGAGGACCCCAGAATCATAGAATGGCGGTGTCAAGCACAGCCGCTTTGGAGGAGGCAGGAGAGGGCAGTGGTTAAATGCATGGGTCTGAGAGCCAGGCTGCCTGGTACCGAATTCCAGTCTGCTGCTCACCAACTTGGTGACCTGGAGCAAGTTACATAATCTCAGCCTCAGTTTCTCCTCTGCAAAGTGGGACAACAATGCCTGTATCACAGAGTTGTTATAAAGATAGAAAAACTACAATAATGTACGTGTCTGGCTCCTGTCAAGCATTTACCTGGTAGCCAGCCTCCTTGGCTACCAGAATCATGGCTGCTGACTTGACTCTCAGATCTGGAAATCAGAATCTCCATGGGAACTTGTCAAAGATCTTGACCCCAAGGCCCCAACCCCAGAGATTCTGATTCAGTGAACATGGGGTCCTGGAAAGAGTGTTTTTAAAAGCTTCCAAGGGATTCTTCCCCAAGTCCATGGACAGCCTCTGGGACCCTCAGATCCTAGTCTGACCTCCCAATCCAGGTTCCCCTGTCTGACCTCTACCAGGAGTCATCACTGCTCCCTGGAACACCTCCAGGGACAGGTGCTTACTACCTCCCACGGCAGCCCCTTTCCTGTCTTTGCTTGAAAAGCTGTTCTGTTCTCTTGCCATCTCCCCCATGGTCGGAAGTCCTTCTGGATGTCTCACTCTCCTCTGCCCTGTTGTCTCAGCCCAGGGATGGAGGGAAGTGCTGACAGGTTCTCACTCTTCAAGAGGGTTTTCTACAAAGGCTGTGGCAATGGAAGGTGTGCTCCTCTAGACAGGAACTGGTGGAGCAGGGGATGTGGGCATCTCTTCCCCCAGGGCTCTTGCCTTCTTGGCAGTCAGCAACCCCCAGGATCCCTGCCCCGCCCCGGTCATTCTGGCCCCTATTCCATCTTCTCACTGGCACCTCATTGGTACCCCCTTGGCACTGTGGCCACCCCCTATTTCTCATCCTCACCAGTTGCCTCTTTCTGCTTGAATTCTGTAGCCCCTCATCCACCAGCCTGGCAACCACTGACCTTTCAGTTGCCAGGCAACCCAGTGACCACCAGACCAGACCTGGTTCCCCACACTGCTGCAGAGCTCCCTGCCCTTCAGCTGGGGCTGGAGGTGAGAGCAAGGGACACAGGCTGGCACTGGTGGTCAGCCTAGGGCTGAGCCACAGCATCTAAAGTCTGGGCACAAGCATCCCCTCCAAGTGGGCCCAGTTCCAATGCCACCTTCCTTCTCCCAAGACCCACGCCCACCCGCCGCTGGTCTAGGCATGGTGCTGGACACTGGAAGCCCTGTGATATCCCCAAATCTGACCCTCCATGTCCCCAAGCCCTCAAGGCCACCTTGGGGACAGCAGGGCACACTGCCCATCAGAGGAAGATGCTCTCTATTTTCAAGAGTGCTGATGCAATTGGAACGTTAAATTGAGTTAATACGAAGATGGAGATTAATTAGGGGTTGATTAGGATTTGGGGAAAGAGGGAGCTGAAGAGGAGAATAAATGATTCCTTTTAAGAGATATTTTATTCTCTTTTTTTAATTATAAAATAATATGTTCTGATTGTGCAAAATCCACACAATTTTGTAGAGAAATTTATAGAGGAAAAAAGAAAGCTGTGTCTCAACTCTGAGATAACCAATGTTAATGGTTTTTTAAGTGATTTGTTGTTAAAATAGACCATTTATTTTACAGAAAAATACAATTGGGCAGCATGATTTTTTCCTGATGATACATGTATATACATTACATATAATATATATATGCCTACATGGAATGATGTAGGTCTGATCCACTATCTTCTCCCTTAAATGAGTTTCTGTATAGCAACCAGGTTTGAGGGGAGGGATGAGGGTAGAATGGGAGGGGTTTTGGTTCTGAGTGACAACCCAGCCTGCAGCCAAAAGTAGGCTCTTAAAGTGCAATTGAAATCATCTTGTGACTCCTCTCCCCCAAAGGAGAGAGTGATCAGGCTGTCCTGCGACATCCTTCTTCCCCCCTCCCCCGCCCGATATCAGCCTCAGCTCTAGCTCCGTGGGACAGGCTGTGGCTGGGGCTCCTGGGGAGGCTGTTGGGGCTGGCTGGCTGTGGCAGCATGTGCCTTACAGGGAGGGGCTGAAACACCAGGCTTAGCATGTACATTGTGTGCACTGGGCAGGGAATCTGTTCGGAACTGGGGTCCAGTTGGCTTTGAGGGGTTACCTTAAACCAAAGACATTGATTTAGGCAAGGAGCCCCACCTCCCAAAGCTGGGGTCCTGGGGTCCTAGCTCTCTTTGCTTTCTCCACCAGCCCTGCTTCCCGCCCCCACCCCCACCCTCTGAACTCCATGAAGAATAAATTTGCCGCTCACAAACCCGCCACTTAATTAATGTCTGGAACTAATGCCCCAATTTGTTCAACGATTCTGCTGCTCACCTCGGTAACAAATTTGTGTTGTTGTTGTTCTTCGGAAGCTTAAAATAGCAGGTGCGCCCATGGCTTCAGCTCAGATGGTTCCTTGTGTGCTTTTCTGGCGTGCTTGAGTCCTTTTCCCACTCCTTACCTGCTGGGTGTCCAGGGAAGCCAAGGCCCCAGAGAGGCTGGGGAACTCTCTAGTAGCCACACAGCGAGTCTGGAATGTGTGTGGGTGTCTCTGGCTGGCGGAGTCTCCCCAGGGCCTGGATGGGGGACAGTGCAGGCAAGGAGGGGCTCATGCCTGGTTCCTCTCGCCCTGCCCTGCCCTGCCCTGCCCTGCCCTGCAGACCCGCAGCTCGCGCCACACTCAGGGAGCCCAGCCGGGGCTGGCAGACCAGGCAGCCAAGCTGTCCTACGCCTCAGCTGAGTCGCTGGAGACCATGTCGGAGGCCGAGCTGCCCCTGGGCTTCAGCAGGATGAACCGCTTCCGACAGAGCCTGCCTCTCTCCCGCTCTGCCAGCCAGACCAAGCTGCGCTCGCCAGGTACTGCGCGCCCATCCACCCTCCCTCCGGGCCGCAGGCTCCTCCCTCCGCTCTTCTCCCCTCCGCACTCATCCCCTACACCACCCGGTCTCTCCTCAGGCTCGGCTGCCCTTTCCAGCCCCATCTGCCCCCGGCAACCCTCCACCCCTCACTCTCTCCCCGCCCCTCTCCCTCAGCACCCCCTGCCTAGCCTCTCTCTGCACGGCGCCTCTCTCCCTGGGCAGAGCCCCCTCTCCCTTCATCCTTACTTCTCCCCTCTCTTCCATCGCAAACTCTCTCCAATCTCTCTCTTACCAGCCTCTAACCTTCCTGACTCCCTCTCAGTTTCTGCCCCACCTGCTCCTGCCCCAATTCCATTTCCTTGTCCGAGCTCCACCTGCCTGGGGTCCAGTGGGTGCCTGGCCTTCCCGCCCGCAGCATGAGGGGTGCCTGGGTGCACCTGCACTCGGGGGCGGCCTCGGGCCTCAGACCCTGCCGCTGCGGGGCCGGCGCAGCTCCCGAAGACTCCCCTCACTCTCCTGGCGGGCGGCGTGGCGGCAGCGGTGACAGCGAGCACGGCGTCTCCTTCGCAGGGGTGCTGTTCCTGCAGTTCGGGGAGGAGACTCGGCGCGTGCACATCACGCACGAGGTCAGCAGCCTGGACACGCTGCACGCACTCATCGCGCACATGTTCCCGCAGAAGCTCACCATGGGCATGCTGAAGTCGCCCAACACCGCCATCCTCATCAAAGACGAGGCTCGCAACGTCTTCTACGAACTGGAGGACGTCCGGTGGGCGGGGCCCCAGGGCCTGGGTGGACTTCCCCACGGGGCTGCTCGACCCTGCTGGCCTTCCCCAGCCCAGTCCTGACCCAATCTCAGCCTCCCGGAGCCCTACCGCCCCGCCCCCCTTCCTCGGTCCTCCCAGCCCCCTCCTGCCTAACTCATACGCCCCTGCTGGTTCCCTTTGGTTTGCGCTAACTTGAAAAAGGCCTGAGGCCGAGGAAGCGGACTGTGTGGAGCTGCTGGGTGTGTGCGTTGGTGGCGGGCAGCCTGAGGCACCAGATCCACTGAGAGAAGGACTTAGGAAGGGGCTGGGGTCCTGGTGCCTCTTGCCACCACCCCTCTTCTCTCTGCCTGGAGTAGCCTCGTCAGTGTGCACCGCTGGAAGATGGATGGTGACCCTCTCTTTCCCCCTAACCTCCCAGGGATATCCAGGACCGCAGTATTATCAAGATCTATAGGAAGGAGCCACTCTATGCTGCTTTCCCTGGCTCACACCTCACCAACGGGGACCTCCGGGTATGGCTGGGGATGCCCAGGGCATTGGGGAGGCTGGGTGGATGGGGTTCAGGCGAGCGGAATCTGGGCAGTCGTCGCTGGGAACAAAGGCCAGCTTTGTGGAAGGGACTTTCTAAGCCTCAGGGAGGAGATGCTGGCTCCTCGAGTAAGGGGCAGTGGTCCCCTTTGTGACCAGCCCTCTGGGGTTCCTGGGCTGTTTTCTGCGCAGAGAGAAATGGTGTACGCGTCGCGGGAGTCGTCGCCCACGCGGCGCCTCAACAACCTGTCGCCGGCACCGCACCTGGCTTCCAGCTCGCCGCCGCCGGGGCTACCGTCGGGGCTGCCGTCGGGGCTGCAGTCTGGCTCCCCGTCGCGCTCGCGCCTCTCGTACGCGGGCGGGCGCCCGCCCTCGTATGCCGGCAGCCCGGTGCACCACGCGGCCGAGCGGCTAGGAGGCGCCCCGGCCGCCCAGGGCGTCAGTCCCAGCCCCAGCGCCATCCTGGAGCGGCGCGACGTGAAGCCGGACGAGGACCTGGCGAGCAAGGCGGGCGGCATGGTGCTGGTGAAGGGCGAGGGCCTCTACGCCGACCCCTACGGGCTGCTGCACGAGGGCCGTCTGAGCCTGGCGGCGGCCGCGGGCGACCCGTTCGCCTACCCCGGGGCGGGCGGCCTCTACAAGCGCGGCTCGGTGCGCTCGCTCAGCACCTACTCGGCCGCCGCGCTGCAGTCCGACCTGGAGGACTCGCTGTACAAGGCGGCCAGCGGCGGCGGCCCGCTCTACGGCGACGGCTACGGCTTCCGCCTGCCGCCCTCGTCGCCGCAGAAGCTGGCCGACGTGGCGGCGCCCCCTGGAGCCCCCCCTCCGCCGCACAGCCCCTACTCGGGGCCACCTAGCCGTGGCTCACCCGTGCGCCAGTCATTCCGCAAAGACTCCTCCTCTTCTGTCTTTGCCGAGAGCCCTGGAGGCAAGACCCGCAGCGTGGGCAGCGCCTCTACGGCCGGAGCACCCCCTCCCGAGCTCTTCCCCGGGCCTGGGGAGCGCTCGCTCGTTGGGTTCGGGCCGCCAGTGCCAGCCAAGGACACGGAGACCAGGTGAGGGACACTCGCCAGACCTCAGCGCTGGGGGGTGGGGAAAGGGGGCAGGACAGAGCCCTTGGCAGGTGTGCGTCTTGGACTCAGAGTAGTATTGGATGTGGCAGGGAGGGAACTGGGAAGACCCACCTGCCATTTTCCTGCTGTCTGCAACACCTGAAGGGGTGGGGGAGAGGTCTCAAGATGAGGACCCTGGAGACTGGGGTTTGCATCCGTTTTCTGAGCTTGTTTCTCCAACTGTGAAGTTGAGGGGCTGAACCAGTCCTTTTAGTGCCTTTCCAGCAGGGACACAGAATTTGCAGCCATGAGAGCTGTCCAGCACAGGGCCAGCTGAAGTCCACTAGGGAGGAGGGTGCCGGTGAGAAATAGGGACGGCAAGAGCAGCACGTCTGGTTGCCTAGCTTCCGGAATAGGGAGCCCTTGCCAGCATGCAGTCCTCTCCTAAGGGTGCAGGGCTGGAGGAGGTAACCTCTGCCCTTGGGCAGCACTGCTGAGAGGTGCGGAGAGCCCATTCGCCTTCACATAGCAGGCACTGCCCTGGGTACTGTTGATACCAGGTTGGGCAAAACTAGTTTCTACCCTGGTCTAGTGGGGAGACATAGTAAAAAATGCTTGCACTTCCCCTGGGTGGTATAGGGTTCCTCAGGGCTACTGAAGCTTTCAAGCCAGAAGAAAGGCACAGCAGCAGGCAGGGGAAGCATGTGCCAGGGCATGGAGAGGTCAGGGTGGGCCTTAGGGAGGCAGTGGTGAGAGATGAGGGGGGTGCTATGGGCTTGATCCTTAGGCTTTGGGGCCCTTTGAATTGTCTGTGTGCTGGTCACCCAGTAGGGAATGGTGTTTGTTCTGGTGATCAATCTTAGCAATGGGGGGCTGGGCAGGGGACTGGGTAAGAGGGACCCTATGCTCAAAGGAGAGACTGCTCAGAGCTCCCTTACTCCCTAGGGAGCGCATGGAGGCGATGGAGAAGCAGATTGCCAGCCTCACAGGCCTGGTACAGAGTGCTCTACTGCGAGGCTCAGAGCCTGAGACCCCCAGGTGAGGCCCCTCTCCCAACACCACTGCCAGGGGCTGGGGTTGGGGCAGGAAAAAGCAGGGATGGGCATCAGGAGCCCTGGGCTGAGCTCTGCCAATGTCTCACTGGGTGACCCTGGGTGAGTCCCTTCCCTGCTTGGGGACTCCATCCTGAGATCAGAGAGCTGGAGAAGATTACAGCTAAGATCCTACCCAGCTTTGACAGTCTGGGGCTGGCCTGGCCCCACTGATGGCTCTCTTTCCCCCCCTGTGCCACAGTGAGAAGATTGAAGGCTCCAATGGAGCAGCCACCCCCTCAGCACGTGAGTGACCCTCCCCCCACAGGTCCTTGTCCTCTCAGAGCCTCAGTTTCCTAATCTGTAAGTGGGGTTTAAACAATAACTACATTGGGTTTTCAATGGATAAATAAGGAGTCACCTTAGCCGGAGATGTGTTTTCCCTGGCACTTTGATCCCCACAGTTAGGACTGATCACCACTTGGGACAGGGAGTCAGAGCCATGTGCCTCTCAGGCAACCGTGTCGGGTCAGGGAGTGAGTGAGACCTTGTCCAGCGCCTCCCAGGCTCACAATTTGTTCCCTTTCTCCCATCCTCGTGGTCCTTTTCTGCAGCCGGAGGCTCAGGCAGCCGGAGCAGCGGGGCCACCCCAGTGTCCGGCCCTCCCCCGCCCTCGGCCAGCAGCACCCCTGCAGGGCAGCCCACTGCCGTCAGCCGCCTGCAGATGCAGCTGCACCTGCGCGGCCTGCAGAACAGCGCCAGTGACCTGCGCGGCCAGCTGCAGCAGTTGCGCAAGCTCCAGGTACAGCCCCTCCCCAGGTCCCCCACCCCAACCCACTTACTTGCCAAAACCCCTTCCCACAAGTCGCGCCTCATCCCCTCCTCCTTCGTCCACCCCCCACAGAGCCGTCCCTCACTGTTGTTTACTGGCCCCTCTCAGAATCCTTTCTCCTCCTCCTCTTCCTCAAGCCCTCCTCCCACGCTCCATCGCTGAACCTCGCTCCCTCGCCAAGCCCCGGCTCCTCACCCATATCCCCCTTACTGAGCCCTCCCTCCCCAAGTTTCCACTGCCCTCCTGGAGCCCCAGTCCACCCACTGAGACCCCTCCCCCTCTCAGTATCCCTCGGGATACTGAGGGGAGTTACAGTACCTCTCTGCCAAGCATCCCTTTTCCCCATTCGGGCGGGCAAGAGCCCTTCCCCCAAGTCCCCTCAGCTCCCCCTTCCTGAGCCGGGACAGCCTCCCTCCCCCCGCCCGACAGATGGTCCCACCTGTCAGGAGACTGGCATCAATGTGCCCTCTCCTCGAGCGGGCCCAGGGCCCATCAGGTGAGGATAATGAACAGAGACAGGCTGGGGATGGGGCAGAGAATTGCCATCTGGGCAACCAGTAAGATCTCGCCCACCCCCGCCATTTGCGTTAGATCCATCGTTAAGCTAGTCTTCCTGTCCCAGCCACAGAAACTCTACCAAACTCCAGCGCCTGAGTCTTTCATTCCAGTCCCGTCCCCGTTCAGGGCTGCTCAAGCCACAGCCAAGCAGCCATCCTGTAATCAGGGCCCTACATGGGCCCACCCGTCCCTCAAATATTCCCATTCCCTTCTCCCTCCTGCCTCTGTATTTCCCTGGAACTTAACCTTGTCTTCCGACCCCGACAATCCCACCCCTTCGCTGCTGCTCGTGGCCACAGCTATGCAGCCGCACCTTCTGCACCGCCATCCTGCCTCAGTTCCCCAGAACTGAGCTCTCGGTCCCTGCCCCCCGCCATCCCACCCCGTCGCTGCGGCTCGGGGTGAGCCTAGCAGCCGCTTCTTCTGCGGAGCCCCGCCCCGCCTTGGGCTGTACACTAGCCGCCTTCTGCCGGCCCTTGCCCTGCTGCGCGCTCCACTCCCTCCCACCCGGGCCCATCCGCCCCTCGCGCGTCCCGCAGCTGCAGAACCAGGAGTCGGTGCGCGCGCTGCTGAAGCGCACGGAGGCGGAGCTGAGCATGCGCGTGTCAGAGGCGGCGCGGCGGCAGGAGGACCCGCTGCAGCGGCAGCGCACCCTGGTGGAGGAGGAGCGGCTGCGCTACCTCAACGACGAGGAGCTCATCACCCAGCAGCTCAAGTGAGGCGGGGCCCGCTGCGGAGGGAGCGCGCGGGGTG